GATCTCGCAGTCTTCGCTTAGCGGTGTTTGAACCGATAAAAGAGAAGGGACACTTTTATGGACCTTAGCAAAATCCTTAACACCCAAAACATACGTGCCTTGTTCATCTTCATTATCAGAGTCATTTTCATTTTCACTTTCGTCTTCACCTTCGCTTCGTGTATAAGTATGCAAATAAGTATGGCTGGTAATAAGTTATCACTAACTGTTAACGGACAGAGGCAGATAAAGTCGTTTTATGGCCCTTAATACTTTTCATTAAAACTATCGATTTCAAAGTTACCTAAGATGCTGAATAAAAAATGGCCTATTTGAGATTCAATACTTGTTTTTTCTGGACCCGCGGTACCCTTCAGGAAACGTGAAAAAAATTTCCCCAATTATTTCGATAACACATGTACTGAATGCAGAATTTTACGCTAATTCCATAACAATCAGTATAATATCCTGAACAAATATAGACAACAGTGAACAATTCCGTAACAAACCAAATTTCTCTGGAAAATGCCTTTCCAAGGCAGTTACCTTTGTCACTTCGGAAAAAGGACACGGTTCATGAGACAAGTGTATTACCGCTTTCAGAGTGAGATTGTAAGATATCTTTTTCTATTTAAATTTAGTTTTATTTAAGATTTAGAAAATTACATTTCAATTAAACGATTGTTTGGGTTTTTAACATTCTTTCTCTTAAATGTTACTAATTTGAGAAAGTCTTGTCTAAACTGTGTTGATGTAACTAAATTAATATAGAATTTATTTGAGTAATTAATTGCCATTAATGTACAACATAAATAAAGTAACATTTTCCACATTCCAATTTTTCGACAGTTTGTGTTATCATCTAGAAAATATTGACTAAAAAACTGTAAAATCGTTATTGGTAATAATGTTAGCGTTGAATAAATAGAAAATATAACCAATAACAATGATAACGTTTTCATACGTGTTGCTGCTGTTGAATTCACTGTTTTCATCTTATGATGGTATCTATTCCAAAGTATAATGAATGAACATGTACATATTATAAATGATGGTATAAATGCAAACAAAATTGAGTGTACTATTGGCCATATACGTCCAATCCAGAGACGAGCATATGGATAATATTCACACGATCTAGCAGATAATTTCAATTCTGGTTGATAATACAATGAAAAATGGAAATGTGTCATTAATAGTGAGATGATTAATACTGTTAATATTATTCTTAAAAGAACTCTTTTATTTGTAACAATTTCTTGATATTTATGTGGGAATATAATAATCAAAACACGATCAAATGATCCATTAGCTAATAGGAAATTTGATATCATTGATGAACCAACTATACATGAATAATAACCGCCACAGGATAATATATCACGTGGATCTCTCTTTATAATCGACATTGCTTGTAACCAAAGCCATAATACACCTATATGCAAACAATGATATAAGTTTCGTTTTTAAGAATGCTTGTAAAGTATACAAACCAGTTCAGGAGCGTAACTCCACTCTTAGAGCAGGAGGGGGGCCGCAAGAAATCTTCTGGTATATTTTTAAAACTACTCTTGCGTCCCTCTCCCTCCCAAAGTATTTTCCTCCGTATGATTTTTTTTGAGAAAAATAAAAGATGTTTCTTTCAGTCCGTATGAGCTCATAGCTAGGATAACGACGTTGGCCGATGCATGTCTTGCACGACATAAGGAGGGATGTAGATATTCAATAGAGAAAAATATGTGTTATCAAGTAACAATGGGATAGTAGGAAGAAATTGTTTGAAAATAAAAGAGTTCTTTTAAGAATAATATTAACAGTATTAATCATCTCACTATTAATGACACATTTCCATTTTT